ATTTACATCTACGATCCAATTAAGTTGCGACGGTCAAATCGTAAGTGGCACAATTGGGTCACTTTTAAAATGCAGACAATAATCACGTCCTCTGCTGGTGTTCAACCTCTCTCTCTCTATACAGGCCACGCTGCGTTTGGATTTACAAGTCAAACGTTTACATCTTTGTCACGATCCACCATCGTTACCCCGCATTTTAGTCACTGAAGCAGCAAACAGGTCAAACACAGACATCCAGGGACTGCGTACTGCATAAAGACAAAGATTTCCCCCCCCCGCCCCGAAGAGCCTTAACAGACTGTTGGGGCAAGTGCTGTTAGCGAGCACCTATGAAAGATCGGCACAGCATACGATGGGGTGGGTTGCCAACACCACGCCCGGCCTCCTTTGTCTCCCCAGTGGCGATGGTTACACCGCGCACCAGGTAATCAGTTTAGGCCGAGTCGACCTAGGGGAGGCCCAGGACTAGTGTTGATCGAACTTGGGTCGTCGGGTTTCGTAGCAGAGCGTGCTAAACCACTACACTACCGCTCCCATATACACACACACGTACAAATTAAAGATACAGGTCGGATTCAAGGGAGCATCCGTCAGAAGGCAGGCTGCCGATTCTTTTTCAACGATACCATTCTTGTGCATTCATGGCAGCAATGTTGCTGCAGGAGCTAAATGCCAATGTTGGCGGTGCTACTGCTGCTGCTGCTACTGCTGCTGCTGCTGCTGCTGCTACTGCTGCTACTGCTGCTGCTGCTACTGCTGCTACTGCTACTGCTGCTACTGCTGCTACTGCTGCTGCTGCTACTGCTGCTGCTGCTACTGCTGCTACTGCTACTGCTGCTACTGCTGCTGCTGCTACTGCTGCTGCTACTGCTGCTACTGCTGCTACTGCTGCTACTGCTGCTGCTGCTGCTACTGCTGCTGCTGCTGCTGCTACTGCTGCTGCTGCTGCTGCTGCTACTGCTGCTGCTGCTACTGCTGCTGCTGCTGCTACTGCTGCTACTGCTGCTTGCTGCTACTGCTGCTGCTGCTACTGCTGCTACTGCTGCTACTGCTGCTACTGCTGCTACTGCTGCTGCTACTGCTGCTACTGCTGCTACTGCTGCTGCTGCTGCTGCTGCTACTGCTGCTACTGCTGCTACTGCTGCTACTGCTGCTACTGCTGCTACTGCTACTGCTGCTGCTGCTGCTACTGCTGCTGCTACTGCTGCTGCTACTGCTGCTACTGCTACTGCTGCTGCTGCTACTGCTGCTACTGCTGCTACTGCTGCTACTGCTGCTACTGCTGCTGCTACTGCTACTGCTGCTGCTGCTGCTGCTACTGCTGCTACTGCTACTGCTGCTACTGCTACTGCTGCTGCTGCTACTGCTGCTACTGCTGCTACTGCTACTGCTGCTACTGCTGCTACTGCTGCTACTGCTGCTACTGCTGCTGCTGCTACTGCTGCTGCTACTGCTGCTACTGCTACTGCTGCTACTGCTACTGCTGCTGCTGCTACTGCTGCTACTGCTGCTACTGCTGCTACTGCTGCTACTGCTGCTGCTGCTGCTGCTGCTACTGCTGCTACTGCTGCTACTGCTGCTACTGCTGCTACTGCTGCTGCTGCTGCTACTGCTGCTACTGCTGCTACTGCTGCTACTGCTGCTACTGCTGCTGCTACTGCTACTGCTGCTGCTGCTGCTGCTGCTACTGCTGCTGCTACTGCTGCTGCTACTGCTGCTACTGCTACTACTGCTGCTACTGCTGCTGCTGCTGCTGCTACTGCTGCTGCTGCTACTGCTGCTACTGCTGCTGCTACTGCTGCTGCTGCTACTGCTGCTACTGCTGCTACTGCTGCTGCTGCTACTGCTGCTGCTACTGCTGCTGCTGCTACTGCTGCTGCTGGCCATGGACGAGAGGGCTTCGGGAGAGAAGTGTTCGTGTCGCTTTGCTGTTCCTTGTTGTCCTCCGGCGATGAGGGCGTTACGGACGACAGTGGTTTACTGGATGACGATGAGGGTTGTTTTTGGGTTAGGTCGCGTAAATATAAATGTGTCTCGATTTAAAGCTTTCGTGACTGCAGGGATTCATCTTCTTGGTTCTTTCGGTAAAGTCACGTAGAAGGGAAATAATAAAAGAATAAAATAAAGCATTATTAAATATTAAACGTAATATGTTGTATTTTTATTATTTTATTATTTTCCTTCTACGTGACTTTACCGAAAGAACCAAGAAGATATAAATGTGTCGTTAGCCCACCCGACACAGCCAATTAGTAAGGTTTGCCATGCAAGCAAAACGTGGGCATTAGTTATGACTTCATCACGCAACATGTGGATTGACTCACCAACACACCGGTGTGCTGAAGCAGTAACTCATTGGCACGCTTTGCTTTGGCTGTGTCGAGTGGTGGTGGGTTAATGACACATTTATATTTACGCCATCTAAGCCAATTTTTTTTTACTCATGAATAACATTGTTCGCGAAAGCCTAAGTGTTAAACTGGTCAGCTATATATTGTCCGTGGGGGGGGGGGGGGGGGTTTGGGTTGCGTGGCCACATTCTCCCACGAAATTTCCCACGTAACCATTTGTTTTTTTGTGACCTAATCATCGGTGCACGGGTTAAAGGCAATGGCCCAGCTCGCACCACAGCCGGGGGGGGGAAGGGGCCTCTCCCCCATCACTCGAGGGATGGGCATCTCTGTGGCGCGTACCGCTTTGTTAAAAATAAAACATCGACCGATTTGGTTGTTTTTGCTACGAAAATCGGTGCGCGGTTACAGAATCGTCAGCGTGGCAATTCGCATCGGTCGAGTAGGGAAGGAGGGTTTTGACAACGCCGCCTTTGTGCGACAAAACCGCAATCGCTGCCGCTGCTGGATGGACACGCGAGGTCAATATAAACCGGGAAGTATCACGGCGAGAACAAGAATAATATCCCACGGCACGGGGAGAGGTGAGGACGACACGTAAATGTGTTCGTGTGTTATGACTATCACCATTGTGATTACACGACTGACAAAAGTCTGGACTCTTTTTGTAATGTCCCCGGGAAGATTCACGTGTTTCCCAGGATGGCAGATGCCTCTCTCCATGGCATGAGGACGATCCTGGGAAAAACGGGACGGGTGGCAACCCCGACGCCTTCACCGGCAAAAAGGCCAAGTCGCCGCCGCCACCGACGGCAGTTGGGCCGCATCACTTTCGATGGAATCGTTTTAAGGGGAGAAATTATTTAAAATTCCAGGACGCGCAATTAACAACGTAAAAATGGCGAGTCGGCCCAAGTCAAACCTTCGGTCGATTCCGCTGGCTGCCTTCTCCCTTCAACTCTTCTCGACCCATCGGCGTCATCCCTTCGAGCCGTGGTGCGTTGCCAGGCCCAAAGCCCCCAACTGACATTTACTGAAAATGTAATTGAAAAAAACATTTGTGATACTTGCATTGGGCAGTGGTCTGCAAACAATGACAAACTCAACACACATTTGGCAAAAACACCGCCCTAAATAGTAAAATTGTTTCAGGCAGTGTTGTTGGCAAATGTGTAGAGCGTTTTGTTCATTCGCTTAACAATTTGGAATTTCCATCTTGAAAACCCGCCTATCGTTCTCTAACCCAACGTGTCCCTCCTGCTGCCTCTCCGCGTCTCAGGTGCGCGTAAGAATTCATAACGACGGTGACCGAAACATCTTACGGACGCGTGGCGCGGGGGGGGGGGGGGGGGCGGTCGCTGTATAGCGTTAACGGTGGAAGCAAACGGAGCGTGACGCTGGCACACAAACGCTCTTGACACAAAGCTGGCACGACCACTGGCACGGCGCTGGCACACGGTGCTAATTGGGTCACACGGCAAACGAGCGGCGAGATCTTTTTTTAGTTCCCACGGACCGGCGACTCCGCGACGAGGCAACAACAAAAAATCCGCCCGTCGCATTCCGCCGCGCCGCTCTCTCCGTCTCGTTTTTTGTTCGTAAGAAATCTCGCCTCGACCCCCCCCCCCACCCCCCAGTTGCGTGCGGCGTGCTGCAGCGGCAGTGCAAAGTAAACAAAGGAAATTTTTAAAAATACAAACCCATGGGGGTCGGGACAGCAACTCGGCGCGCGCGTGCGACAAAAAACGAAGAATCAACCAAAACTAAACGAGTCGTGGTAATGATAAAAAAGTAGAAAAAATGAGTGGCAAGATAAGACTTTTCGTCGTCATTTCCCCATTGTTGTTGTTGTTGTCGTTGTTTTTCTCTGCTATCCACAGGATGTCCGCCGTTTTCCACGAACGCGACCGCCCGCCTGGTACCGTAGTGATTTCATCCTTTTCACATCTGTAGAACCGACGAACCGGACCTCCAGACACGGGTCCTGGTGATATGTGTTTCCTACGGCGGTTGAGAATTAACGTCGTCACAATCATCATCGGCGTCGTTATATATTGGTACTGGGTACATACGGGCACTGCATCTATTTGTGGGACATACGATAAGCGCTATGTATATCAGCTGTCCCTTGCCAGTTGAAGAGAATAACAATTAAACAAAAAGGAAACACGGTACAAGTCACTCTTTTTTAGCCTGGCACGGTCCGCCACGCAGCCCCGGCCGTTCTGCAACCGGCCAGCGAGTCTCTCTGTGCAGTGTGTGTGCGGCTTCGGCGACAGGGCGGCGGAGAAACAGGCGTTCCCATCCTCACGAGTGACCCCGGCGACCCTTTCGGCAAGCGACGAGACCCCCCACCCCACCCCACCTCCCCCGGCGATTCGTAAACCACGCGACGGGGACTCGGCACCTTTCCGGCCCGTTGGGGGCCCGGGGTGGCGATCGCACCGCCTGCGCACTTCCAAAGCTACGCCCCCCCCCCCCTTTTCTCCGCCGCCAAGGGACGCGCTGGGAAGCAGTCGGTGATTTGCAACGAGCCGCGGACGCCGGGGTAACTTGCTCCACGCTCCTCCGAACGTCCAAAAGTCTGAACCCACCGCAGGCAGCAACAGCAGCAGCAGCAGCGGACTTGAACCGCCTCGACGACTCCGGCCCCTTTCGACGGGAGTCTCGGTAAAAACCTCACGGCGCGGACGCGAACCGCGGCGAGACCTCCCAGAATTCGTCTGTCCCGCGTCAACTTCGCCGCCCGCTCCCGGGAGCAAAGCGCCGGGCCCGTGGTGGCGGTGGCGGTCGTCGTCGCTCAAATGTAGGTCATGGCGCCCTGCCCGGCGGATTCGGGTGAAGTATGGCCCGAGGTGCCGGGGTCGGGCGGCAGCATCTCGAGGTAGGAGGTGGGCGCGTAGCCCTCGCGCTCGCCGTGCCGGACGCGCGTCCAGCCGTCCCCGCGGTCCTCCTCCAGCACGTCGAGCGAGTCGCCCTCGTGCAGCGGCACCGTGCCGTCGTTCTCCGCTGCGCCGCGGCGGGGGAGAAACGGCCGGAGGGGTGGGGGGGGGGCAGCCAGAGGAGGGGGAGCCGGGGTGGAGAGAGGAGAGAAACGGGGGTGAGAGGGAGGTGAGTGTGGAGAGAGAGACTTAAAAACTCACCTCTACAATCACGTGCTTTCGAGCGACTCTGAGCTTGGCTCCGCGCCTCTGAGTTGCGGCCACTACGTCTGCAAATTTGCGCGTGTTACAAATTGAACTATTATTATTAGACAGAAGTGAGAGGGGGGTGAGTGTGGAGCGATGGTGGTGAAAGGGTGGGCGGGGGAGGGGGGTAAGAGTGGGGGAGGAGTAAGGGGCAGCTAAGGGTGGGGGGGGGGGCACTCACAGTCGAAGGTGTAGAGAGCCCGGCAGCGCCCGATAGCCGGCGCGTCGTCGTCGAACTCGTCGTCGAAGTCCGTGTGCCCGCCGCTGTGGCTGTGGTCCTCCGTGTAGCTCCCGTCGGGACTGCTCGAGGGGGTAGGAGGGGTACGGGGGTAACGGCACGGGCACGCGGCTTCTATAGGGGGAGTGTACGCGCGAGAGCGGCGGTTGCGGCGGTCGGCGACCGGTCAATCGGGGGAATGCGTTGGTGAAATATCTTCGCGCGTCGCTTCTGCCATGCAGATGCTCCTCGCCCACTGAGGGGGGGGGTTGTTACGGGGTTTGAAACCGCCCGCGTGGACCGCAGGCGGTTTATGAAAGCAGATGCGCGTGCCGGTGTGTAAACATGGTGCTGGCCAACCACCCCCCTCAGGTAGCGTTGCCCGTTTTCATCGCTGCTACTCGCCAACAGCGCTTGCCCCAAAAGCCTGCGAAGGCTGTAAGGGCGATCTTTGTCTTTGTACACGCTCACGTGACGTGCGTGCGTGCGTGCGTGGGGAGTGGTAGCGCAGCGGTTAGCGTGCTGCGCTATGAACCCGGCGACCAGAGTTCGCTCCCCGCTCACGGTCAACGTCAGTGGCAAATATGTAAAGCGGTCCTGGGCCTCCCCTAGGTCGACTCAGCCTCAAGTGAGTACCCGGTGCGGTGTCGGACACCACCGCCTACACCACCACCTCGCGCCCCGCGCCGCCCTTCACTGCTGCTCGCCACTAACAGCACTTGCCCCAATAGTTAATTAAGGATACACGGGGGATCTTTTTCTTTGGGTAGTAGCGCCACGGGTGGTGAGATGTTATCTCCCTCGCCTGATATGCAGGAGGTCGTGTGGATATATCTCTGGGTACTCCGGATTTTCCCTCCACATTTAGCATCAATCTGCGTTCACTTGGCTGCTACACATTTCCACATGACCAGCCACTTCGTTGAGCCGTCATTTGTGATAGCCGTGTCGCTTCTGAAAAAGAGCTACATTGCAGCTCAGTGGGGCCTTACCTGGTAATTGTTTTAGTGTAGTTACCTCTCGCGAGCGCTGGGCCCGTTGGCCGATCCCGACCTGGGCGACCCCGCCTGCTCGAACAGCACGCTGCTGTGACGCCGCGGCGTGTCGGCCTTGCCCACCGCACGGCCCTCGGCCTCCGCCAGCCACGTCTGGGGGGGGGGGGGGCACAGGGGTGAGGAGGGGGGCCATGCGGGGTTTGTCACGGTCATCGCGATCATCGTCGTCGTCGTCGTCATCATCATCGTGGTCATTGTCGTCACCATCATCGTCACCATCATCATCGTCATCATCGTCGTCATCATCATCATCGTCATCATTGTTGTAATCATCATCGTCATCGCGATCATCATCGTCATCATCGTGGTCATTGTCGTCACCATCATCGTCGTCATCGTCGTCATTCGTCGTCATCATCATCATCGTCATCATTGTTGTAATCATCATCGTCATCGCGATCATCGTCGTCATCATCATCATCATCGTCATCATCGTCATCATCGTTATCATCGTCATCATCGTCGTCATCATTGTTGTAATCATCATCGTCATCGCGATCATCGTCGTCATCATCGTGGTCATTATCGTCACCATCATCGTCGTCATCGTCGTCATCATCGTCGTCATCATCATCGTCATCATTGTTGTAATCATCATCGTCATCGTGATCATCATCGTCATCGTCGTAGTCAGGCGTCAGATGATCGTAGAATTCAAGCTAAAGCAGGCAGGTTGGTTCAGAATATATCTTTTTTCAGAATCAGAATCTTTATTCATGCTGGAGGAATCCGATGAGCTATGAAGCTCTTTCTCACAGATGCTTGAGGCACCTGCACCCGCTGGCTCACTTCGGTCGCTCACGCACCGGTGGTCCGTCACCTCCTCTTAGCCCTTCGCTATCGCTACTACCACCACCGTGGCTACCATGCCCCTTGAAGCTCACTCCACCTACTCATGCTCACTCACTCACCCACCCACTCGCACACGATCACATCTGCCACGCTCTCGATATGCAATTATCCATCTCGCCAACCCGCGCCGTGACCTCGTTTCGTCGCTCCATCTTCCCATGGTGTAAAACCTAATTCGGACTGCAATTTCAGAAGTAAATCACCCGTCCACGTTTTTGGCGGGGGATCGAACTCGTGTCACCTGGTTCGTAGTGTAACTCGCTAACCGCTGCACTACCGCATCAGTGAAAGCGAGCCACAGACAGTGAGCCTGGCTCGGAATTGAGCTCTGGTTGCCGGGTTCGTAGTGTAACGCACTAACCGCTGTACAGTTTAACACGTGGAGGGTTGCGATATATTTATAAATGACGCGATCTAACCCAAAAAACTTTATTATGACTAACCGCTGTACCACCGTATAAGCGATAGCGAGCCACAGACAGTGAGCCGGGCCGAGAATTTAATTCGAGTTGCCGGGTTTGTAGGTTAGCACGCTAACCACTGCGCGACTGCACGAGTGGAAGCTCGGCACGGACACTGGGCCTCACCAGTGACGGTTCTAGCTGGGCAGTTGTAACATTTTTCCTGTTCTCATTTCATTGCAAAGCACAGGAACTGATTTATTACCCAGCGAAGCGGCGAGAGAGAAAGCCGTTGTCACACGGCCAGGGCTGCATAGCAACCTTGCAGGCGTGGGTGGCATGCTCACACACCACGCACATGCACAGCCAGCACACACACACACGTAGCTAGACTATGTGCGCACACACAATCAGTACGTACACACAGCCAACACACACGTACAGCCAGCACACACACACGTAGCTAGAACACACACACATGTAGCAAGACTGTGTGCGCACACACAACCAGTACGTACACACAGCCAACATACACACACAGCCAGCACACACACACGTAGCTAGACTATGTGCGCACACACAAATGTACGTACACACAGCCAACACACACGCACAGCCAGCACACACACACACGTAGCTAGACTATGTGCGCACACACAACCAGTACACACAAAGAATATGTGCGCGCAGATATCCACTACACACACACAGCCAGCACACACACGCACAGCTACAACACGCGCGCACACGCCCACACATCCAGTGCAAACGCGCATCCACATCACACATACACACACAGCCAGTACACGCAGACACGCGCGCACACGCAAATTCAACAAAATCTGACACTACGGCGCACTAGCGCACTAACTCACCCCAGATGGGAGATTAAAACAGCGAGCGAGTGAGCGAGCGGGAACGGCACCGATAGCCACTGAGGGCACCGCTGTCTCTATTACGCGCCCTGGTGTGGGTTGGCTTTTGGCCCCATAAAGACAACGGAACTTGGTAATGGAAAAGAACAACAACAACAACTTAGCCAGCGTGCCCAGACAAAAGCGTCCCTTTTAAAGCGTGCGTACTACCAGCTGTGATGACGTACGGATCAGGAGCCTGGCAAGTAATGAAGACGACAGAGCAAATGCAAAGAAGCGTTGGAATTACACAGAGAGAGAGAGGAACACGTGGACTAGAGAACACACGTCCATCATTGGTCACCCCGTCGATAGACTGGGCCCTCCGCCATGGTAATGTGGAATTACCACCACTGGCTCAGTGGCTGCCAAGTGTCTTTGGTGAGAGCACCTGGTTGGGGATTGGACTATCATCATCATCATCAACTCTCTGGTGGTGAATGAAATAAATACTGGGCCCCAACCACGTGCCAAGGGATGGCTCCTCTCCACAGATCCCCGGCCGAATGAAACATTCAGAACGGCCTCGGATATATATTAAAAAAGAAATTGCCAACCGCTCAACTCACGATACCAATGGGGAGGGAGGGGGAGGGTGGGCGCAGGGGGGGGGAGACAGAGAGAGCGGGAGCCAGGAAAATCCAACCCGGAGCCCAGGGGGCTGATTGAGAAAGCCGTACCGGGCTGTACCACTGCTGAGTGGAGGATCAATGCGCGCACGTGCGTGAGTGTGTGCGTGAGTGTTTGCGTGAGTGCGTGCGTGAGTGTTTGCGTGAGTGTTTGCGTGAGTGCGTGCGTGAGTGTTTGCGTGAGTGTTTGCGTGAGTGCGTGCGTGAGTGCTTGCGTGAGTGTTTGCGTGAGTGTTTGCGTGAGTGTTTCCGTGAGTGCGTGCGTGAGTGCTTGCGTGAGTGTTTGCGTGAGTGTTTGCGTGAGTGTTTGCGTGAGTGCGTGCGTGAGTGTTTGCGTGAGTGCGTGCGTAAGTGCTTGCGTGAGTGTTTGCGTGCGCGAGTGCGGTCACGGTGGGGAGTGGTGGTGTCGCGGTTAGCGAGCTGCACCACGAACCCGGCCCGCCCAGGTTCGAGCCCCACTCATGTCTACCACCACCAGTGACGATTATCTGAGCCGGTCCTGGGGCTTCCCTAGGTCTACTCAGCCTCAAATAAGTACCTGGTGCTGTGTGTAAACATCGCCACAAGGGAGAGGAGACAAAGGCGGCCGGGCGTGGTGCTGGCCAACGCACCCACTTCGCGTGCCGTGCCGGCCTTGGTAGGCGCTACTCGCGTACAACACTTGCTCCTAGAGTCCGTTAAGGCTAAACTGGGGATCTTTGTTTCTGTTATACAGCCACGACTTAGATGGAAGGGACAACTCGAGTCCCAAGTGGACGAGCGGTCGTAAGAGCCGGGGGAGGGAGGGAGGGAGTGGGAGCGGTGATGGGTTTGGCGACCGAATTAAAACGAAACGACGAAATGAAACATTCGCGGAGCGCGATTTTGGCAGGGGTGGTGGCGATAAAAAACACCACGGCGCCCTCACGGATTCTGCGTCGCCGTCCGGGAAGAGTTCAAGTTCGACGGCTCTAACGGTGGCGCGCTCACGTCGCGGTGCGTCCGGAGGCCGCGGCGAGACAACGGGGGGCGGGGGGAGCGGGCGAGGATAGCGGCGGCGGCAGGGAGAGAGCGGATTTACCGTAGTTTTGCCGATTTTCTCGACGGCGATTCCCGAACGGCAAACGCAACTGCACGCCAAAGTTTAATTCGTGTCTGATTAGCGTTACGGCAGTTGTCGTGGCTCCCCCCCCCCACCCCCCGTGTTGCAGAGCAAATGCGAATGATAGAGTCCCGTGATAAAGTCCTGAAGAGCAACGCAACTTTACACTAAAGTTTGGTTTGTGTTGGATCGCCTTTACGAGCGTTCGCGTGACCCTACTCCCGGTACGGACGGACGGACACACGATCAGAGCTAACGGGTTGACCTCTTTCAAAGTGTGAAAAAACGCAAGAAAATAAAATAGATTTTTTTTTTTTTTAATAGACGGGGGTCAAGGGCCAGAGCTGGGAGAGTCAGGAGGGGGGGGGTGGTCACACCTCGTGCTTCTGCAGGCCTTGGCGCAGGCGGTCGATGCGATGGCCGATCTCGCTGAGCTTGGGCTCCAGGCTGGAGGGGTCTCCCATCTGCGGGTTCCGCGCGTACACATCCTTCATCTTGTGCAGCGCTTCCCTACACACACACACAGAGGCAGAGGTCCCCCCCCCTGTACAGCCTCACCTAATACACACAATAGACAAAGATGCCCACCACCAACTCCGCCCCCCTGGTGGTGTACGAGTGCGGTGGTGTGGCCGGCACCACACACGGCCCCGCTGGGTTCGTAGTGCAAAGTTCTAAGCACTACACTACCGCTCCCCACAAAGACAAAGCTACCCGTATAGCCTGAGCAGACTGTTGGGGAAAGTGCTGTTAGCGAGAACCTATGAAGGCCAGCACGGCACACGAGGGGGGTGGGTGGCCAGCAACTACGCCCGGCCGCCTTTGTCTCCCCAGTAGTTATGTTTACACACCGCACCAGGTATTTATTTGAGGCTGAGTCGACCTAGGGGAGGCCCATGACCAGTTCAGATAATCGTCATTGATGTTGGCCATGAGCGGGAATCTAACTCGGGTCGCCGGGTTCGTAGTGCAGCACGCTAACCGCTACACCACCGCTATCCATACACATACACACATGTACACACGTGTGAACGCGTAAGGACAGACGCACGCAACACATTAACGTACGTGCGCGCACAAGACAAAGAAAGAACGCCCCGTAGCGACTCAAACGGCTGAAACCTACGAAGGCCGGGCACGGCGCACGATACCCATCACATTGCAAGTCCGCAAGAGATGGAAACTGCTTGGGGAAGCCTTCATGTAGCAGTGGATAAACCAAGGCCAATCGTGATGCCGATTGGATGGATGCAATCGTGATTTGAAGCTTTCGTGACTGCAGGAATCCATACTGTTTGGTTCTTTCGGTAAAGTCACGTAGTTGGAAATAAAATCAAATATAACAAATCACGATGTTTCGATCGCAACACAAGCGACCTTCATCAGGTGGCACGGACACAGCAGGACAACCGCTGACATATGTCAGCGGATGGATGCACTGCCGCATCGGAGGACCGCGAGACCGGGCGACGGCTCGCTCGAGGCGTCCATGCAGCAGTGGATAGAGCACACGGTGGCGAGGGCGGCACGTACTTCTGCTCCACCTCCTTCTGGATGTCGCGGTTGTAGTCGTCGATTTTGCTCTGCAGCTTCTTGCGCCGCTGCTCGGGGGGAAGGTGGCTCTGGTCCTCGCACGGCACGGGCTGGGAGCGCGAGCGGCGGAGTGCGTGAGCGAGTGTGAGCGTGATGGAGTGTGTGAGTGATTGATGGAGTGATGGAGTGCGTGAGTATGTGAGCGAGTGATGGAGTGTGTGAATGAGTGAGTGAGTGATGCAGTGATAGAGTGCGTGATAGTGTGAGTTTGTGAGTGATGGAGGGAGTGATTGTATGAGTGATTGTGAGTGATGGAGTGATTTTGAGCGATTGAGTGCGTGAGTAAGTGATGGAGTGTGCGAGTGAGTGATTTGAGTGCGTGAGTGTGAGTGAGTGATTTGAGTGCGTTGAAGTGTGTGAGTGTGAGTGTGATGGAGTGCGCGAGTGAGTGTGATGGTGTGTGCGTGAGTGAGTGTACACAAGTCACACACGTGGGCGAGTGCGTTGAGTACTCGTGCACGTGTGATTCCACGTGTGCAGAGCGCGAGTGTGAATGATCACCCAGGCGTGAGTGTACGTGCGTGCGTGCGCGCACACGGACCAAAAAGCACAAGCACGTTTACAAATTAGTTTGCTTGTTCATGAAGCAGCAGAACAAAAAACTGATGAAGAATCACGACCCAATGTGCTGCATAAACGATTCCTTGCCATCACCATGGATCCGCACACAATCAGTAAGGCCTCTTTCACAGCCTAAACCGCTCCACAGATGTTCGTTTTGAAAACTAGCAGATCGCCATGAATCCGAATAATTTCATTTCAATTTAATAAATCCCCCCCCCCGCCACTACTGGCAAAATGAGACGAAAAAGAAGACGCAGATGACAAGGCGACATCTAAATCTCATAATTGCCAATCAAAGATCCCCCACATAGCCTTCACAGACTGCAGGGGCAAGTGCTGTTAGCGAGCACCGATAAAGGCCGGCACGGCACACGAGGGGGTGGGTGGCCAACACCGCGTCCAATTGCCTTTGTCTCATTTGAGGCCGAGTCGACCTAGGGGAGGCCCAGGAACGATTCAGATAATCGTCACTGGTGTTTGCCATGAGTAGGAATGGAACCCGGGTCGCCAAGTTCGTAACGCAACACACTAACCGCTACACTACCGCTCCCCACAATAATTGCCAATCACACACGATCACAAACACGTAAAACAATCACTGAAAGCAAGCACAGAAGGGTTGCAATTCGCTAATTAAATGAGGCAACTCAGGTCGGCCTTGTGGCTCAGTAGTAGGGGCGAGTGCGTGTCTCACAATTGGAAGGCCGTGAAATTAAAATCTTTTGTCTTTGACTCAACCCATCACCCCTCCATCTGGGGCGAGTGATCGATAAAATAGATACCACTTTGTGGGGGAAGTCAAAAGTGGGTTACATCCTAGATTTGAAGTTTTCGTGACTGCAAGGATCCATACTCTTTGGTTTTTTTCGGTAAAGTCACGTAGGTGAAAACAAAATAAAATAAATCAATATATCGCGACGTTTCGGAAGCGGTTACACCTGATGACGGATGCTTGTGTTGCTTCCGAAACGTGATTTAATTTAGTTATTTTTTATTTTTACCTACGTGACTTTACCAAAAAAACCAAAGAGTAGTGGGTTCCATCCTATGGAGAGACCCCCCCCCACCTACCCACCACCACGTGACTATGGAATTTCCATCAACGGCTCAGGGACTTGCAGGAAAACCACTTTTGACTCCTTTTAAATCAAGGACACGCGCCGTGGAGAAGGGAGCGATATTCACATCCGATCGGGACGGACCTGGCTGAAATGAAGCCCTGGTTATAATGGAGGGGCTGGTAAGGTGGGGTGGATGAATTGGGGGGGGGGGTGGCGTTCAAACGATGAACGTGGCAAGAGACGGATAAACATGCACGGACGTACGGATGATGCCTTACCCCCTTCACACTGAGCTTCTTCTGATTGCCAGAGAGCCAGGGACAGACAAGAAAAACAGGGACAGACAAGGAGCTTTCAGGGGCGTAGAGACGGGACAGGAAGGTGAGGAGACAGGTCAACAAACCCAGACTCCCGACACATCTATGATAACGGGCTGTGGGGGAAAAATAAAAAACAAACCCCAGCGTTTGTGTAACACCATTGGATGTTCATTACCATGAACCCCCCCTCACCCCACCCATCTGTTGTGTCTCCACATAATAAGAAAATACAGTGACGGATTATCCTAGTAGCAAAAGTGGCATAACTCTAAGGGCCCTGCACTTACAAGGGCGCCGCGCTAAATGCTTTCAAGCTATTAATTCCAGTTCAGTGATTCTGCACTTGCTCTATTACTATAGTACTATACCGCCTTCAACTTTTATGAACGACTGGGTGTTTAAGGTTAGCGATTTGTCGTATTATCTGGCTGTATAGCAAATGAAAAAATACAATTACTTTACTATGCAAGTAAAAAATGTGTGCGTTTTAATATTTAAGTGTTTTATTTTATTTAGGGCCCCTTTATAACATATGCTACAGGCCACGCACTTGTAAATATTGAAATATTTCCTTTACACACAAAACCCATCGGCCGCACGGGCATTTTTTCTAGAGTGCATCTCATCAGCGGCTTTTGGATCGCATACAGGCGGACCATTTGTGGACCGGTTTCGACATCCAGCGTCTTGTCAGCTTGGCGCGGACCAATGCAAGCGAACTACCCGATGTTTAATTGGCAAGGACGGCCTCTCTGCAAGCAATGGTGCGCAGGTCATTTAATAGAATATGCAAATAGCAAGCTCAATGGCGCCTGCTCTAAAACGTACTCTTGCGTAACAACTTGTTGCTCACAACTATATCAGTTAATGCAGTCTTGGCTTCCTTAACTACCCCCGAGCTATCCGAGTTGTTGCTGGCTGTTGCTGGCTGTCCCTGGCTGCCCTGGTTGTTGCTGGCAACTTTTGCGGTCCCTGGCTGATTCGTGCCTGGCTGTGCCATGATGCCACTCTCCCTCTCTCCCACTCTCCCTCTCTCCCACTCTCCCTCTCTCGCTCTCTCTCACTCTCACTCCCTCTCTCTCGCTCTCTCACTCTTGGTCCTGCTCTCACTCTCTCTCGCTCTCCCATGTTGCCTTGCTCTGACCCCTCGCCTCCACACTCCACTCTTCTAATCTATGGCAGCGTTTAATTCTTTTTTCATTTTTATAAAGAAAAGAGCCTAGAGCAGCGATTGCACTTGGGACGCGATGTAAATTTAAGTTGCTGTCGCTGTTGCTGTTGAATGGGTGAGCGCACGACTGGGAGACAGTGTCGCACAGCGAAGGCCGGACAGGAAAGATCAGCGATCAGGAGACACAAACACAGCACGACACAGGACGAGACGAGACGACACAAACCGTCAGTGACACAGAAACCATCTCACTCTGTACGGCGCCTCTCGACGCTGTCCTCTGCCCGCTGACAGCGCTGTCCTCTCCAAGAGGTAATGGAGTCATCATTTATCAACACAACTTCATAAACTGGATAACGAAGGCGGGAAAACCAGCGCGACACGGCTGATGATGTCGACGAGGTCGCCAAGCCCCTGCCCATCACCTCCCGTCCAGCGGCACCCCGCGTGGGGGAACAGAGGTTGAGACTCATTTTGCTTTCCAACCTATTTTCGTGTTCCCGGATTATTCGAGTGCTGTAACTGAACCGACAAACCGTACAGTGACCGATCACCCAAGCAATCGGATGAGAGTCGAGCTGGAGTCCCCTACACAGCTGCTAACCTGCTTGTGCCTTGCCGGACACAAGGGCGATTGATGGGAGTGTGAGCGGTGGGTTGGGAGTGACGGGGGTGGTCGCGTCGCGCAGGCAGTGGGAGTTGGGGGTCAGGCTTGGACTAGCAAACTGGGCCATCACCGACCACTCGTGCCAGGTAAGGCCCCATTGAGCTATGTAGTGTTTTTTCAGAAGCGACCTAGCCACAAATGATAGCTCAACGAAGTGGCTTATCGTGTGGAAATTTATAGCAGCCAATTACTCGAAACGCGTAGAGTTGTTGATTATAAATGTGGAGGGAAAAACCGGAGAACCCGGAAAAAAATCCATTCCATCACGGGGAGAACATGCAAACTCCAAATATATATAGCAGGCGTCAGGGTCGGGATCGAACCCACGACCTCCTGTATACCAGGCGAGGTAGTTAACATCTTCTAGCTACCGTGATGATGATGAGAGGGAGAGACACGCAAACTCCAAATATAGAGCAGGCGTCAGGGTCAGGATCGAACCCACGACCTCCTGTATACCAGGCAAGGTAGTTAACATCTCCTAGCCAAAATGCGCCCGATCTCGTTATATTTCAAAAGCTAAGGCAATTTGAGCCTGGTGACTGCTCGGACGGGTGACCGCCTGCACAGCTTGCCATGCGTTGTAGGAGTGCGGCTACGAGTGGCCAGGAGATGGCAGTGCCGAGTGTCTCCCTTCTAGGGTATTGTGATGGTGGTGGTGATCCTGGTAGCGGTGGTGATAGTGTTGTTGGTGGCGATGATAGGGGTGGTGTTGATGATGAAAGTGATGGTGTTGGTCGCGGTGTTGGGTCATGGCAATTATGATGATGATGATGATCACGGTGGCGGTGAAGATGATAATTTTATTCAATTCTTGTGTATGGCAGCAGCAATGTGTTTAGGAGGTGAATGCCAAAGTCAAGATTTGCTGTGCCACGATGAGAGGGTTTCAGGAGAGAATTTGTGTCGTGTTTCTACTCCTGATTATGATCAAGGTGGTTTCGGTGATTATCATTGTACGTATGTTGAACTTCTTTAGCACCGTACGTTGCCAACCTTGCTAATCGGAGGTTCGGTGATGATGGTGATGATAACCATTGTGATGGTGATGATGATAATGGTGGTGATTATCATTGTGATGACAATCATGGCCAATGAAGACCCAACAATGAGACGTTCAGTGCTCAGCGATTTAGCCATTCATTTTTTTTGTTTGATGATGATGACGATGGTGGTCATGGTGGTTGCTGTTGCTGTGATGGTGTTGCTCACCGCGGCCTGGCTGGAGGGTTTGGCGAGGGGTCGCGACCCCAGCCGGCCCGATAGGAAGCCGGAGATTCGGCCTGAAAGGGTGGCGGCCCCACCACCCCCACCGCCCGGCGAGCGGGGGGAAGAGATTCGGGGAGAACGGGGGCCCCCCACGCTGAGCCAGGGTTCTCGGGGGTAGCTGGGGGGCGAGTCGCCCCCTCCCCCCGATAGGCAGGAGGTCGGGGAGCCGGGGGGGGAGGGCGAGGGAGGGGCTGCCTCCAGGTCGGGGTGGCCGTCGGAATGGGCAGGGGGGGGCGGAGGAGGAGGGGCACCCGGGGTGGGGAGGAGGGATGCCAACTATTGATGAGGGAGGGGAGGAAATAGATGTGGTCAGAGGAAGGGAGGGTAGGGTAATGGATGTGGAGGGAGGGCAGGAGAGAGGGATCGCGAGAGGGATTGAGAGGGAGAGAGGAAGGGAGAGCGGGGAATAGATATGGGAGGGAGGGAGGGAGGGAGGGCACGGAGGGATGGCGAGAGGGAGGGGTGCAGCAGGGAGTGTAGGGAATGGATGTGAAGAGAGTGCCACCGTCACCACAAGAGACAGAGACGGGGGAGAGAGAGAGGGAGAGACCCAAACACCACCAGGGTTAAAAAAAAATATACAAAAGCAGCAATGGTAATGATTAAAAAATATAAATATATTACCACATGACCCACCACCACCACGAAGAAGGAAATTAAATTTAAAAGGAAGCCAAAGCAATGAAAGTGGCTTTCAATATAAATGAGAAGCAGCAAAAGCACACACGGGGTTAGGAGGAAGAGGCGCGCGGTTAGAGGAAGCAGAGCAGAGCGTTGGGGTGAGAGGGCAGGGGTCACGGGTGAGGTCAGGGGTCACGGGTTAGAGGTCAGGGCGAATGAAGCGTGGACTTGGCGTTCGGGACGCGGGGTTGGTTTTTTGTGTCCGGCAAAGCGACACACGGCTTAGCAGCATCTCCGGTATTACTTCACCTCAACAACAACCACGGGCCTCCTGCATTCGTGTTTGACGCCACGCACACCCAAACGCGTCTCCTCGTCAGAGAGCTCTTGTTAATGATAGCGGCAGTTAGTCGGGACACGAAGCCGTCTAAGCGAAGTGTCCTCCGTCTGTCTGTCTGTCTGTCTCTCCACACCCCCCCTCCACGTAGCCGGCGCATATCTTTGCAGGCTCGTTTATCTCAAAGCGAAGCGGTGACTACCGACCGTCACCATGAACTCCAGCCATCCTTTCGATTTAAAGCTTTCGTGACTGCAGGGATTCATCTTCTTGGTTCTTTCGGTAAAGTCACGTAGAATGGAAATAATAAAATAATAAAAATCAAACATAATAAAATAATTCTCACAACGTTTCGGCCACAACACAAGCAGCCGTCCTCAGGTGAAAAACAGGTCTGTCGGGAAGACAGAGGCTGAATTAATTATTTTATTATGTTATATATATTTTTTATTTTATTATTTCTATTCTACGTGACTTTACCGAAAGAACCAAGAAGATGAATCCAGCCATCCTCACAATGGCGGCGGATTTTGGCTGGCCATCTGGAACGCTCTTCCTTCCCATATTAGGAAGCCCACTGGGAACTACGCACTTTTAAATCTAGATTGTCCTTCCCCCGCACCTCCGATTAGCAAGGTTGGTTACGTACGGTTCAACGTACACACACGCACACACAGCGGACGGGAGCTCCGTGTGACGCCAATGTTGATATTAAAATAGACCGGGAACCTCCGCAGCAGCAGCCGGCAGCCGCAGCCTCGCACCGTCGGCTGTTGGTGCAGCACCGAGCCCACATGCTGGGATCCTCCCGCACCATTCTACTCAAACACCCTGCTAAGCTCTTGTCCCAGCAGTCTGTGAAGAATATCTGGGGGATCTTTGTCTCGTTACACCCGCACTGAAACGAACGCGCTGTACGAGAGCGCGCACGCGCTTCCAAATTCCGATGGATAACCGCGCCGCCGAAAGTCCGCAAATTTCTGTTCAGTATCATTCAGAGGTTCTTCCTCGGGCACGCATGGTTCCTGGGTTTTCTCCGGGTTCCACGGTTCCCTTCTCGTCACTGCACTAAGAGGAATTCACGGCCAGGATCCTGCTGAAAAAAAAATACTTGAGACTTTGTTTGTGAGGCTTTCTTTGGTAAATGACGTACGCTTTTTTTTTATTCATTAGGTTGTAATTGAATTCGCTGTCGTAAAATATCTGCGGTACGTCACCAGCAGCAGCATCGGCGATGGTTACCTCATGACCTCAACCCTGATTAACCTATGCTCATTATTATCATCATCAACCCAATCAAACCGAGAACCACTTTGTGGAAAGCCAATGGTCATTCATATCGCATGGCGTGACCGGTCCCCGGTAGAGGAATGTGGACTTTCTGCCACTGGCTCAGGGTCGCTGAGCGACATGACCTCCACCCTTGGTCCGACCTCGACAAAAACCTTCGAGCCAAGGCAATCCCCCCCTAAGCTTCCTGTCGTATAAAAATACACTTAACCCAACTGGTCCCAGAGGTCATTAATTCAGGCAGCTGTCAAGGTAAGGATTTATAAATAAGATACAATCAGATTTCGATTTAAAGCTTTCGTGACTGCAGGGATTCATATTCTTGGTTCGAAAGAACCATGAATAAGATACAATCAGGCCTACTACCGTTATACCTTCATGGAGGGGGGTGGCGGCGGGGGGTACCGGTTCGATGCCCCCCTCCCACACACCACTCACGACTCCATGGATGGTCACGGTTCAGGATCGCGATTCCATCCCAGAATCAAATTCTTTAGCAACGCTTGCCAACTACGGTTGAAAATGCTTTTACATTAAGCGTTGTCCGTCTGTCTGAAACACGGGGGGGGGGGGGGGTTGTGGGGGAAGGGTTACGATAACTGTTGTAACCTTGATCCAATATGAACGAAAATTTTGCGCACAGTTACGTTGCCGCTAGGGACTTGCTCTGTGCACTCGCCCTGTCCGTCTGTCACGCGGGGTTACGATAACTCTTGCAACGTTGATCCAACATCAATGAAGATTCATTGCAAAGTTGCGTTGCCACTAGGGACTTACTCTGTTGCGTTAGCGCTGCTGTTCGTCTTTAACATGGGGTCACGGTAACTCTTGCAAAGTTGATCCAATACAAATCGAACCTTCGAGTAAAGTCACATTGCCTTGACCCGGGCCAGAGAAAGCAGTGAATATTGATCAAATTATTATTGCTCAAACCAGAGAGACACAAAAATCAGAGTGAAATAGATTATTTGCAGCAAAAAAAACGATGCAATTATGAAACTATTTTCTCAATCGGAGAAAGCCGCTGCGCTGCTCATTAATATCAGCTGCCGCAGCTTGGATTGCAAACTCTTAAGGTCAAAAACAAACGGGTCACATCGTGGACAGACCAACGTCTCAAACCACTACAAGTGGGGAGAACTGCACGCAAACGCATTGTCTGGAGTGGTGGATCATCGTCACTATGGTCGTATTATTCTTACCGTTACTACGAAGCATCTGACAATACCCCGGGACCATTAATGTCCCCCCCCCCCCTTCGTAGGACTTAGAAGACATCACAGCTGCCTCCACCACAAGAGGACGATCCTGGAAAACGCCAGGACAGGTGGCAACCCCAGCTGCGTCCACCCCTAGAAGGGCAGCAATGCCGCCCTCCTTACCCGCCCTGGCCTATTTACGGTTAAGAGGAATCCCTATTTACGGGTAAGAGGAAAGGCTATATATATTATGTATTTAGTTCAACGGATCTCACAAAAGTCGTCAACGACGTCACGCCCGCCCAGAATTGTCTGTTCACGTCCCAGGTCGTAGCAGACGGGGTTGTGGTAACCGGAACTCGGGAAGCGCTTCCTTGTTCGGGTTTAAGCCCGGCGCTCCCAGCCGCTCCCAGCTGCTCCCGGCTGCTCCCGCGCCATCCAAGTGTCACGCGAACGCGCCGCTAACGACCGCGGATTTTAATTGGGTTTACAAAAAAAAATCACAACCATAATTCGACTGTCAAGATTACGACGGCGTTGTCGAATCGCGGCCGTTGGCCGGAACGGAATGCTCTTGAGATTTTCACGTCAATTGCCGTGGCGTACTTGCGTAAAAATAACTAAATAAATAGTGTCGTCACCCACCGTTGAATTACAGTAAAACCTTGGATTGCGAGCATAATTCGTTCCAAAAACGTGTTTGTAATCCAAAGCACACTTGTATCAGTTGTGATCACGTGACGCTCGGCAGACAAAGCGTAAACACGTACTACTCGTATTACAAGTCCTCGCTCGTTCATCAAATTAATATTTATTTAAAAAATTTTGCTCGTCTTGCAAAACACTCGCAGACCAAGTTACTCGCAATCCAAGGTGTTTACTGTATTACAATTACAGGCGGCGTCGTCATCGATTAACGTTTTCTAACGAGTGCTCGCGGGGTTATTGAATCTCGCAGCGCATGCCGAACGGTGTCACGGACGAACCCAGACGCTCACAGGGCTGTGAACACAACCACGACAACCAATCACTGCGCACGGAGCCGGAGAGATATCAATACAATTTACCAATGCAGTCTATAAAGCGGCTTGAGCTGGATTCATGAAACTAACAAAGACAAAGATCTCCCCGTATAGGCTCAACAGACTGATGGGGCAAGTGCTGTTAGCGAGTAGCACCTAAAAAGGCCGGCACGGCACACAAGCGGGTGGGTAGCAAACACTACTCCCGGCCACCTTTGTTTCCCCAGTCGTGATGTATACACACCACACCAGGTACTCATTTGAGGCGACCGAGGGTAGGACCATGACCGGTTCAGATAATCGTCACTGGTGTTGTTGGTCGTGAGCGGAAATCGAACGCAGACACGCGCACACACTTGGTAGTGCGAAGATTTTATCGTATGAATCTCTTCCCTCCAAACCTAATCAAGTCCAGTAAAACAGACAGGCAGACAGACAGGCAGGCACCCAGGCAGGCAAGCGAGCAGACAGGCAGGCAAGCAGCCTGACAGTCAGATAGGTTGACAGACAACAGGCAAACAGCCATGTAGCCAGACAGACGTATGTACTGTATGTATATATAGAGTATGTACAGACAGATAGGCAGGCAGGCAGACAGTCTGTAAGATATACAGAGGCAGGCAGGCGTAGGAATTTTTTTTTTTAACCGCTTCACCAATTACCTAGGCGCCAGGCGAATGGGCAGCCAAACAGACAGGCTGATAGACAGCCAGACAAACACACAGACAAGAACATCCAGACAGCCAGACAAGCAAGACATCCAGACGTACACACAGACATGAACAGCCAGACAAGCAAGACATCCAGACGTACACACAGACAAGAACATCCAGACAGCCAAACAAGCAAGACATCCAGACGTACACACGGACAAGAACATCCAGACAGCCAGACAAGCAAGACATCCAGACGTACACACGGACAAGAACATCCAGACAGCCAGACAAGCCAGACATCCAGACATACACACGGACAAGAACATCCAGACAGCCAGACATGCAAGACATCCAGACGTACACACGGACAAGAACATCCAGACAGCCAGACAAGCAAGACATCCAGACGTACACACGGCCAAGAACATCCAGACAGCCAGACGTACACACGGACAAGAACATCCAGACAGCCAGACAAGCAAGACATCCAGACGTACACACGGACAAGAACATCCAGACAGCCAGACAAGCAAGACATCCAGACGTACACACGGACAAGAACATCCAGACAGCCAGACAAGCAAGACATCCAGACGTACACACGGACAAGAACATCCAGACAGCCAGACAAGCAAGACATCCAGACGTACACACGGACAAGAACATCCAGACAGCCAGACAAGCAAGACATCCAGACGTACACATGGACAAGAACATCCAGACATCCAAACAGCCAGACGTACACACGGACAAGAACATCCAGACATCCAGACAGCCAGACGTACAAACCGCACAAGGCAGCTCTCGGCCCTCCTGTCTAGCACAGGTCAGGGCACGCTCGTCCTCCCGCTCGTCCTCCCGCCCACCCACCCGCCCACCCTCCGCTTGCCTGATCCCTCTCACCTTGCTCTTCTTGGCAAACAGCCACAGCTTGGTCTTGGAGCGGCCGACGCTGCCCCGTATGTCGGGACGTCCGTCGGAGCGCTGTGCCGACGTCAGCGTGCCGCCTCCACCGCCCCCACCGCCACCGCCGCCTCCGCCCCCGCCGCCGCCACCGCCTACGCCGCTGCCTGACGCTTCGGGCCAGGCCTTGCCGATGTACTGGCTGAAGTCCTCAAAGTCGACGTCGCTCGGGCGCTCGAAGCCGGACTTGCACATCTCTATCACGAGCTGAGAGTCCTGCCCCGGGAGAGACGGCAGAGGGAAATGAAGACGGGCAGGGGGGCGGTTACGTTGCAGGTGCTGGCTGGACTTTTACAGCCGGTGGCGGTGACGGTGGCCACACTGCACGTGGCGTGGCCTGTAATCCGGCGCTGTGGAGGCAGCAACGGCAGCGAGGGTTGGTGGATGACCGCACACGCAGATGTCGTTTGAAACTCCCTTCCTTCCTCCCGTGGGTGTCGAGGAGGAACCGTACTCCTGGCTGTGCCAGGAGAATGCAGTGCAGCAAAATGTGGACTCATCGCAAGGCGTGGGTGTTCTCCGGGTACTCCGGCTTCCTCCCGCGTGAATAATAATATTAAACACTTCTTACAAGCGTAGTAGAGCCTACATGCGGTGTGAGTGAACTAGTGGCCACGGCCGGTAATGACGGGGGTATCGGTTGTGAGTGCGAACGGACTGGTGGCTACGGGAGATAATGACGGGTATCAGTTGTGAGTGCGAAGGGACTGGTGGCCACGGAAGGTACTCATTTAAGGCCACTTGTCATCGATGTTAGCCGTGGCCTTGAACTGAACCTGAATCACCGGGTTTGTGGCACAGCTAAGCGCTGTGCTAACCACTCCGCAGACACGCACACACGTCAGTGAAAACATCCACTCGATAATAACCGGATTATATGTACCTGCGCATGTAATAATTCATGTTTATATATAGACGTATACAGCGCCATTCATGTGATTTGCATCTCAAAACACTGTAGAATGTTGTAATCGCACAGAGGCGAGGAGGTAAAACCGCATAAGCACTTGTGGGAAGGAGGCCAGAACCGGCCACTGTCAAAACAATTACCCGGGCTCTCTGTGGGTCCTGCATTGGGATGTTTGGCCACAGCTCAAGTAATCCAGAGAAGCTCCTCCTTTACTGAATGGGCTTCTCATTCAAAAAAAAATCCCACGTCATCGGTGGCGAGGCCAACGCCACTGTGGGTTTCCCAGCCCTGGAAGATTCTTTTGCTGTTTTTTCCTGGATTTTTCTGTTTGCGCATAGTCACTTTAAGATGTTTTCTTGTTCATGTTTTAGTTTTTTGTTTGTTGCGGGTTGCACCCGATTCAAGAGCCGAATGGCTCACAGGGCTATACCAAATAAATGAAACTGAAAACTCAAACTTAAAAAAAAGAGCTCCCATATAAACAAATACTCATTCTGATTAGTCCCGGTTATCCCTGGTTGGGGCTGGTTAGCCCCGGTTAGCCCTGGTTAGCCCCGGTTAGCCCCGGTTAGCGCTGATGAGCGCCGGTTAGCCCTGGTCAGGGCCCGGTAGGCGCCGGGGCGCTCGCCCTCACATTGCCGTGGTTGATGGCGTCGGCGGCCCGGGTCATGCCCTCCAGGCACTTGGCGACGATGGGCAACACGCGGCGCTCCGACTCAGCAAACTGCTTCACCGCATCGCCCAGCCGCACGATGCGGCCCTCCTCCAGCGTCTGCAGACCCTGCGAACGCGCGCGGCGGAAAACGCGCGGTTACTCACGTGGCGACCGGCTGCCTTTGTCTCCCTTGTTGCCGATGCTTACTACACACCGCACCAGGTACTCATTTGAGGCCGAGTCGACCTAGGAGCACTCACAAAGACAAGGATTCCCCCGTATAGCCTCAAGAGACTGTTGGGGCAAGTGTTATTAGCGAGTAGCACCCATGAAGGCCGGCACGGCACACGAGGGGGTGGGTGGCCAACACCACGCCTGGCCGCCTTTGTCTCCCCAGCGGTGATGTTAACACATCGCACCAGGCACTAATTTGAGGCTGAGTCGACCTAGGGGAGGCCCATGACCGGTTCAGATTATCGTCGCTGGTGTTGGCCCGTGAGCGGTAATCGAACTCGGGGCGCTTGGGTTTGTAGCACAGCGCGCTAACCACTGCACCACCGATCAGTGTCACCACTTCGTTTTGAACAACACTTTCCAGTTTATATAAATGTTTTACAATGTGTAGCGAAGCGGCACAGGCTGTGCAGTCTCCCTCTCTCTGCGTCAGATAACCCGTGCCAACTGGAACTGTCCCATGACCTGCTGACCTCCCGACCTCCTGGCAGCGAGCCGCATTCGACGTTTCCCGTGACCTCAGAGTTGGACCGAGTGCCGTGGTGATGTCGCCACAACTTGCTAAGAATCTGTTGGTGTTGATGCTGTTGTTGATGATGATGACAATGTTGTTGATGCTACTGTTGTTGATGAAGCTGCTGCTGCTGTTGATAATGATGATGACGATGTTGTTGATGCTACTGTTGATGATGCTGCTGTTGTAACTGCTTCTGCCGATGATGATGCTGCTGTTGATGATGCTACTGTTGCTGATGATGCTACTGTTGTAACTGCTGTTGATGATGCTACCGTTGATGATGCTACTGTTGCTGATGATGCTGTTGTAACTGCTGTTGATGATGCTACCGTTGATGATGCTACTGTTGATGAAGCTGCTGCTGTTGTAGCTACTGATGATGATGACAATGATGATAATGATGATAACGCTACTGTTGCAACCGCTGATGATGACAATGATGATGATGATGATTCTACTGTTGCAACTGCTGATTATGACAACAATGATGATGCTCCTGCTGACGATGGCGACGCTGTTGACGGCACAGCTGCTGTTGACGACGACGATGATGATGCTGCTGTCGCTGATAATGCTGCGAGTGTAGATGACGTTGCCGCTGCTGCTGCTGTTGTTGTTGTCGCTGTTGTTGTTGTTGTTGTGGCTGCGTGCATGGTACGAGACTTGCCTGGAACACTTTGGGCATGACGCCATGGTAGTGTTCCTTTTGCTCCGTGTTGAAGCGCTGCAGCTGCGAAGCGTACTCGCTCTTGCTCTCGTCCGCCATCGTGCGCCTCAGCGTCGAGTTCTGCCTCGCCTGAGCGGGAGACGAGGAGCGGCGCGGGGCAAGGGGGGGGAGGGGGCGACAATGGGGAGGAAAGAGGACAAGGAGGGAGGAGGTGGGGTGAGAGATGGAGGAAGGTGGGGGGTGGGGGCACGTGGAGTCGGAGGATGGAGTGGGAGGGTGAGAGATGAAGACGGGGATGTGAGGGGGTGAGAGACGGGAGAGACACGAAGAGGAGGTGGAGGGGCAGAGGAAGAGAGGAAGAGGAGAGGGCGCGTGGGATGAGGAAATTAGAGGGACATTGGGAGGGAGGGGTAAGAGATCGGGACGAGAGGGGAGGGAGGTTTGAGGTGAGAGTTAGAAGGGAAAGAAAGCGGTTGTTGGTGCATGAATAGTAGGAGGTGGAGGAGAGTGGGTGTGGGATTCCAGATAAAGGAGTGGGGTGCACGGAGGAGTAAGAGATGAAGGAGAGAGAGGGGGGTGCGCGTAAGGTTTGGGTGGCTGCTGGTTGAGTGGCACGGGTATCTTGTCTCTGCGATTCACGTTGTGACCACAGTCGTCGTAGTAGTAGTAGCGATAGAAGAGTGATATGGAGGCGACCGATGTTGAATTCTGTCAAGGGCTTCCTTGCTGGTGAGATGTTAACTACCTCGCCTGGTATACAGGAGGACGTGGGTTCAATTCCGACCCTGAAATGTGCTCTATATTTGGAATTTGCATGTTCTCCCCGTGGTCACGTGGATTTTTCTCTGGGTTCTCCGGTTTTTTCCCTCCACATTTAGAATCAACGTCACGCGTTTTAGATTATTTGGCTGGTGTAAATTTCCACACGATAAGCCGCTTCGTCGAGCTCTCATTCGTGGCCAGATTGCTTCTCAAAAAAGAGCTCAGTGAGAAAAAATTAACCCGTAAAAACAAAGTTTTTCACTATAAATCCTTTATATGCGTGGCGGCTAGAGTCCTCTCGTCCTCTGGCTTGAGATGGCTACCACCTATGGGTCAGATGATTGCCTGCCACCATTAAGCAATTGGTAATTAAATATAAAAAAAAATTTACTAAAAAGTGTAAAGTTATGGAAAAAAATTTTCACGAAAATAAATTGTCACGCACAACGAGTCTGTGTGCAAAATGTCAGCTCGATTGGATCACGGGAAATGGGTTAAAAAACGACCAAAAGATTTGCACGGTCGTAAGCGCGCAAGCAAGCAAGCAAGTGAACTTAATATAAAGGATTTAAAAAGAAAAAACCCAGTTCAGTTCAAACGATGCTCACCTTCTCAACGTCGGCTTTGGTGGCGTTGATATCGCAGTCCAGCTTCTCAAAGTTCTGCAGCGACCTCTCCGCCTCCTTGCAGTCGCGCTCAAACTTCTTCTTGCTCTGCGAGGGCAGAAAAAGGTGGGTTCACGACGGGGACAAACGTCCCCCGTGTTCGCATCGACAGGATTGTTCGGGGACAAGTGCTGCACGGCACACGAAGGGGGGTGGGGGATGGCCGGCACCCCGCCCGGATAGCTCTTTCTCCCCAGCGGTGATCTTTACACACCGTAGCAAGTACTCGTTTTTAAGGCTACGGCGGCCTGGAGGAGGGCCAGGACCAGTTCTCTGGTGTTGGCTGCGAGTGTGAACTAAACTCTGGTCGCCAGGTTTGCAGTGCAGCGCGCTGACCGCTGCTGCACCAACGCTCCTCACATAAATGCAAAAAGACAAAGATCCCCAGTGTAGCCTTAACAGACTGTAGGGGAAAGTGCTTTTAGCGAGCACCTATGAAGGCCGGAACGGTACACAAGGGGGTGGGTGGCCAGCACCACGCCCGACTGCCTTTGTCTCCCCAGTGGTGATGTTTAAAGACTGCACGAGGTACTCATTTGAGGCTGAGTAGACCTAGGAGAGGCCCAGGACCGGTTCAGATAATCTCAGATAATCGTCACTGGTGTTGGCCGTGAGCGGGAATCGAACCCGGGTTGCCTGGTTCATAGCCCATCGCGCTAACCGCTACACACACACACGCACGCCATACTGAACAGAGGGGCAGTCAGAGGAGGGTGGGTGGGGGGTGGTGGTGGTGTGAGTGGATTGGTGGTGGTGTGAGTGGGTGGTGGTGGTGGTGTGAGTGGGTTGGTGGTGGTGTGAGTGGGTTGGTGGTGGTGTGAGTGGGTGGTGGTGGTGTGAGTGGGTGGTGGTGGGGTGAGTGGGTGATGGTGTGAGTAGGTGGTGGTGGTGTGAATGGGGGTGATGGTGTGGGTGGTGGTATGAGTGGGGGTTGCGGTGGTTGGTAGTGTGGGTAGTGGTGGTGGTGTGAGTGGGTGGTGGTGTGGGTAGGGGGTGGTGGCAGTGTGAGTGGGTGGTGATGGTGGTGGTGTGAGTGGGTGGGTGGTGGCGATGGTGTGAGTGGGAGGGTGGTGTGAGTGGGTGGTGGTGGTGATGGTGTAGGTGGTGGTGGTGTGAGTGGGGGTGGTGGTGATGGTGTGGGTGGTGGCGATGGTGTGGGTGGTGGTGTGGGGTGGGGGTGGTGGCGATGGTGTGGGTGGTGGTGGTGGTGTGGGTGGTGGTGATGGTGTGAGTGGGGGTGGTGGTGGTGGTGTGAGTGCGTCGGTTACCGTCTCCATTTGCTTGAGGCAGCTCTCCACGTGGTGCTGAGCCTTTCGTCCATCGTGAACCAGCTGCAGAGAGAGACACGATGGTGAGAGACCGGACGGATCCTGGAGCACTCTCCAGCGGGGTGGCACCGCAGCGTCCCTCGTGCCACGTGGCAACAAGGGGCCTGGGTTCGATTCCCCTGTTCTGCAGAGTGTGATCGAGCGAGAGCGGTAGTGTAGCGGTTAGCGCGCTGCGCTACGAACCCGGCGGCCCGAGTCCGATCCCCGCTCACAGACAACACTTGTGACGATTATCTGAACCGGTCCTGTACCGCCCCTAGGTTGACCAAGCCTCAAATGAGTACCCTGTGTGGTGTGTAAACATCGCCACTAGGGAGACAAAGGCGGCCGAGCGTGGTGCTGGCCACCCACCCCCTCGTGTGCCGTGCCGGCTTTTATTGGTGCTCGCTAACAGCACTTGCCCCTACAGTCTGTTCAGGCTGTACAGGCGATCTTTGTCTTCGTTTGGAGTTTGTATGTTCTCCCCCCCCCCCCCCTGTTTAGCATGGATTTCTGCTGGGTTCTCCAGTTTCTTGCCACAGCAAAAACAAAACCCCAATGCAATGTCAACCGGTGCTGGACCGAAACATCCCAATGCTAAGTGTACCTGAAAATTACTCAATTGGGGATCACACACAGCAGCAGCAGCAGCAAACCCTGCTGCGAAAAACTTGGCAAGACCCTCCTGCAAAAGAGTCTTGAGACTCAGTAAGGCTTTTCAGGGTAAGCAAGCGTAGCAGTGATTGTTGTGTGTCATCCCAATCGAGTAATTTTTTGCGGGGAATTTTTTTTTTAATTGGCGGAATTATCTTTTCCAAATGAGACCACAACACAGGCCCGCAGTGGCGAACGACGTCGCACGATCTTTAACGTCCACTATTTGTACGTTGAACTTCTTTCGCACCGTATGTCACCAACCGTGCTAATCGGAGGTGTTGGGGAAGGACAACGAGAAACTTGGTAGTAAGAAAAAAAGTTCTTCTCGTTGATACCACCGTCCAATGGTGAGGTCGTCAAACTAAACAGCGGACGGCGACATCGATGATGAAAGAACACGACCGGTATACAGGAGGTCGTGGGTTCGATCCCAAACCTGACGCCTGCTGTATATTTGGAGTCTGCGGTGTCTCTCTCCCCGTGGTCACGTGGATTTTTCTGCGGGTCCTCCAATTTTTGCCTCCGCATTTAGAATCAACGTCACGCATTTAAGAGTATTTGGCTGCTATAAATGTCCACATTGATAAGCCACTTCGTTGAGCTGTCATTTGTGACCAGGTAGCTTCTGAAAAATAGCTACATAGCTCAGTGGGCCTTACCTACTAAATAAAAATCATGTTCAGATTATAAAAAAATGTTTTAATCAGCATTAATCAGGGCGGCCGCCGAATTCAAACCGCCGTGAAGCTCCGCAAGCAGCTAGCGACCGATCGAGACGGGCGGACAGTCAAGACGGACGGACGCGCACGCGGCCCCCACGGCGACGTACGGCTTTGCGCTGGGTCTTGAGCTCCTGCGTGTAGCGCAAGAGCTCCACCACCACGGCGCCCGACAGGCACTCCCCCACCACCTCGCGCTGACCCGCGTAGTCCGTCAGCTCGCTGAGCACCGCCAGGAACGCCCGGCACGATGAGAACCTGCGTGGGCGGGCGGTGGGGGGGAGGTGCGGGAGAGGGGATGGCAGGGAGAAGGAGTGGGGGCGGGGGGAGCAGACGGAAAGACAAGCGCAGGAGGAAGGAAGCAGGAGGAGATATGGCAGAGTTACAGGGCAGGCGCGAACAGGAAGCGGGTCTAACGTTGGAGGGATGCGCTTATACAGGGTGATCCATGTAGGCAAAGGCGCAGCCCTGCAATTGCTCGCTCTCGCCTCCGCTGGCGGAAGGGCCTCCGCTAGAGGGAGCTTTAGAGAGAGCCCCTGGAGGGATATCTACATAGCACTTCTGGATGGTAATGTTTTTGCCTACTCTTCCACGCTATGCCGGACGTCGTGGAAGAGGAGTACCCACACATTACCCGACCACCGGATCAGCCATCTGTGGAGTACACAATTACAGAGGCGGCGGGGGTGGGGGGGAGGTATTTTAGAAACTTTTGCTCCGGGAGATGGAATCGAGCCGGCATCCTCTGGATTGCAAATCCAGCGTGGCGGGCTGCATCTCTGATCTACTTCACGCCATACCATGACCCTCTTGCCCTGTGTCCTGTTCCATCACCGCCCTCACTTGCCCACTCGCACGCCAACTCACTCACTCACTCATCCACTCGCCTGCTCACTTTCTCGCTTGCACACTGACACGCACACTCACTCGCTCACCCATTCCCTCGCTCGCTCGCCCGCCCGCCAGCTCACTCGCTCACTCACTCACCTGCTCGCCCACTCACCCACTTGCCCATGAACTCGCTTGCCCACTCATTCGCTCGCCCGTTCACTCATCCACTCACTCGCTTGCTACCTTGCTCACACACTCACTCGCTCGCCCACTCACTCGCTCGCTCACTCACTCACTCACTCACGCCCTCCTCCTTCACCTGTACTCATCCTCGTCCTTCGAGTTGCGTTTCGGCTGATATTTCTTCACCAGGCTCCTGAAAGGAAACAAAGCGGACACATCCCGTCAGTGGGTCGCAGGAGGAAGACCGGACGGCACGAACGCAAAAACCGCCTCTCGTCTCGTAGGCACCCCACCTGGCAGAGGTGTAACAGTCCCATCGATTCCTCAATCAACATCGAAACCTTGAGCGTCGCGCTACGTGCACCGAATCACGCGAGCCACAACAATCCACTCGTGACGGCGGTCACGGGCACCTCGTTAATGAGCCAGATCGGGCGGCTGACGATGCATTAAACTATTTAAAACTGAACTTATCAGGTAAGGCACTACTGAGCTATGTAGCTCTTTTTCAGAAGTGACCTAGCCACAAATGATAGCTCAATGAAGTGGCTTGTCGTGTGGAAATGTATTGCAGCCAAATGCTATAAACGAACGTTTAGAAATGTGAAGGGAAAAAACGGAGGACCCGGAGAGAAATCCACATGACCATGGGGAGAGAGATGCGCAAACCTCCTGTATACTGGGCGAGGTAATTAACATCTCCTAGCCACCGTTGCGCCCCAACGTTAATGCCTGACGATGCTGGGTGTAAAAACGTAAAGGATAAGATTGTCAAAATGTTTTTTCTTTCGCTGGGGCTTTTCAATGTTTCTCCTCCACAGGTTTAGATAAAAAAACAATTCAATTGGCACATTCGCCCACGTGACAACTTGATTTGACTGGCTCTGGCAGGTGGAGTGGAGGGTTATACTGTAGTACGTATGCCGAACTTCTTTCACATCGTACGTAGCCAACCGCAGGTGCGGGGGAAAGACAACAACATGCAATTAATCATGTACCTTACACATTATCTTCGCAAAATAAATTAGTTTGATTTACGTGACTCCAAAAGCCACTAGGGGCGTTCCAGCGTCGCTGGGTGGCACGAAGGTCAGAGAGCCTTGAGCCGGCACCACTGAGGGCCGAGGTTCGAATCCAGGTTTTCAGCAACTGCCTGCGACTTAAACCGGAGTTCTTAAGCGTCGTGGGTTTATGGTTTCGGCCAATTGATGGTCTCCACAAATGCACACACAGAAAAAAAACCCATCATAAAAAATCGAGTTCTGCAATTAATATGATCAACATTTCACCTCTCGAGAATTAAAAAGGTCAGTCGCAGAAAGGATCTCAGAGGTAGCTCTGTGATGTCTGCTTCCACGGGCCATTCTCTGACAACACGGGAGGGGCTCGCACCGCCCCTGCGAGATTTGCGAACGGATTCTTCGTCAAAGGTAGCGCGGTCGCGATAAAGTTGCGGGGGAAAAATGCTTTAAAAAAAAGTTACGTTTTTTTTCTTCCACTAAATCAAATTTAGCTCTGGAGGCAAACCACCCCCCCCCCCCCCTAGAAAAGGAGACCCCCCCAGTAGAGTCTGGCTCGTATAACACGCAGACAGTCTCATCTGTCAGAGGCAAAAATAAAATATATAAATACCCTTAACGATTAATAATATTTAGGAAGCACAGGAGGAAGGGTTGGTGGCTCAGGCATCTACATACTTTGAGCCAACACCGCCGAGTCAACTGAGTTCAAGTCCAGGTATCAGCCACTGCCTGCGAATAAACCGGGTTTTCTCTGCGACAATATCCCGGGGGGCTGTTGCCCGCATACACGGGGTGGTGCGCTGTCAGCTGCCAACGTTTCATCGCACGCTCAGGGACGATGTCGACGGCGCGACCGAAGACCGATTCGCGGAAACCGCAACACGAACGTCGTAGGACGCGACGGGTGGCGAATTCGTTTTTCCCCGTGAAGGCACCACCAGCGCGCGGTGACCTTCCCCCCGCGTCGGCTGCCGCTGAGAATATTTCACATTGCTCATTAGTGCGCAGTCGCAGTGACCTTTAGCGATATTATTGTTGCTGTTACAGCTGCGTTTGAGCGAGCGGCGCTTTCGATCGCTCGTGACGCGCGCACGCGCGGCGTGATCGCGGCGCCGATCAACGTGACCGTTAATGGTAAATCGGCGTCCCTTTAAAAATGAAACGGCTAATATTATTTTTACTTAAACTAAACCATTAAACTATAAACTAAACAAATGTTTATTTTATTTTACCAGGTAAGGCCCACTGAGCTATATTTAGCTCTTTTTAAGAAGCAATATGGCCACAAATTACAGCTCAACGAAGGGGCTTATCACGTGGAAATATGTAGCAGCCAAATACTCTAAACGCGTGACGTTGATTCTAAATGTGACGGGAAAACCGGAGGATCCGGAGAAAACATTCACGCGACCATGGGGAGAGAGACACGCAAACTCCAAATATACAGCAGGCATCAGGATCAGGATCGAACCCACGACCTCCTGTAAACCAGACGAGGCAGTTAACATCTCCTAGCCACCGTGATAATGATGATGAGAGAGACACGCAAACTACAAATATACAGCAGGCATCAAGGTCGGGTCGAACGAACAACCTCCTGTATACCAGGCAGAGGTGGGACAAAGTCATTGTTATGCAAGTCCAAGTCGAGTCTGAAGTCATCAAATTCATGACTCGAGTCTGACTCGAGTCCAAGTCACATGACTCGAGTCCACACCTCAGAGGTGGGACAAAGTCATTGTTATGCAAGTCCAAGTCGAGTCTGAAGTCATCAAATTCATGACTCGAGTCTGACTCGAGTCCAAGTCACATGACTCGAGTCCACACCTCTGATACCAGGCGAGGCAGTTAACATCTCCTAGCCACCGTGATGGTGATAAGCGAGAGACACGCAAACTCCAAATACACAGCAGGCGTCAGGATCGGGATCGAACCCACGACCTCCTGTATACCAGGCGAGGCAGTTAACATCTCCTAGCCACCGTGGCACAGATGACGCACGTTACGATAACCGCGTCGGCCGACTGCGAGAACTGAACAGCAAGACACTGAAAAGCAGCTGCTGTGCCGTAAACACTACGGAGTGACTGTAAACACACGGGGGGGGGGGGGGGGGGGGGGGTACATTGTATGGAGTCAAACAATGAATGAGGAACTTGAATTTCGCAGTCAAGGAAAGCCACCTGGGAGCTGCCTCTGGTGTCCCCACCAGTGACCTCATTTCCAACTCAGTCGGGGGGGGGGGGGTAGCAACTTTCCCCAATCCGCCCTGCCACTGACTCGTCGCACGACAGCGGTGGGGCGGGCGGGTGGGGGGGGGGGTGCGCGACGTAGCGGCAGCAAGAAACATACGCAGCAGTTGGGCTAAAACGTGGACCGGAACACAGGATGTCAGCGGGTGCCAGCTCAGCCGCTGTGACCTCCGAGCCGGCCAGCCAGCCAGCCAGCCGCCGTTGTGAATGAGCGCTTTTTTGTGCGAAGAGAGACACAGAGGGCCGGATTCTCATCTTCACCAACGTTCATTTTTTGTCCAATTTTTTTATCGGGGGCGGCGGCGGATGGTGGAGGGGGGGGGGGCGATGTGCAGATGTTTCCATTACCAACAGCGGGGGGTGGCGGGGCAGGGGGAGGGAGGCAAGTCGCCAAGGCAATGTGTTTTGGCCATTTTCGTCGAGATGTGGGAGTGGTGCGGAGAGTTCGTTCGACTTGGAGCGTCGATAAACCCAGCGCCCGGCACTTCTGTGGGGACCGTGCAGGGAAACAACAGGGCGCCATCGATGCCACCCTTTATAACATTAATAAATATAATGAATCATAATAAATGCTATTTAGGACGCGCACGTATTTAACGAATCGGACGCATTGTTCGATCAAGAACTCGGAGGCAGGAGCCAAAGCTCATGTCATCCAGAACAGGCAAGCTCCTGGACAGCTGAGAAGCCTGGACAGGTGAGATCCTGAACAGGCAAGAAGCCTTGAGCTGCTGCCTGAAGGTGGATGATGGTGATGGCGCCTGGGTGCTGCTGGCGTGGGAGAGAGAGCGCTCCACCGCGCTGTGCGTGGTGCTCGGTGAGAGCTGGCGGGGGGGGGCGGGGACCGTACCGCAGTTGCTTGGCGTATCCGATCTCGATCTCGGCACGCTCCTTCACGAACTTGGAGAAGCGTTCGAGGAACTCCACGCCCCACAGCGTGTGCCGCTCCACGCCCTCAAACTGGTCCTGCACACGCGTCACGCACGCGCCGAGGCAAGGGGGAAGAAAAATCATGCACGCGCACGGGACTCCACAACGCTCTCCGACGCCCGCTTGCCGCTCGCCCGCGTAAGCGTTTGCTCGGCGATCGCCCAAGCGGTGGCGCTCACGTCGGCAGGAAGGCGGTGCGAGGGGATGGTGACACCCTCGGCTTTGCGCAGCCCACGGCACCTGCAGGGTTATGTCCCGTGACCTACGCGATAGCCTCGAAGGGCACGCAGCCTGGCACAAGCGCCGCGGTGACGTCACCGCCACTTAGTCAGCGAATGGCGGTCGTTGTCGTTGGCCTTATCAAAAAGGAAACAATAAATACATGGCAGGTGACGTTTAGGGCAATGGCCCTTCTTCATAGCAACATAAATTGCGCTTGTGCACCACTGCCAATGCAGCACCGCCGAATACTCTGCTTAGTTGCAAACGTTAGGGGTGACTCGCGTGACCGGGACACGCAAACTTCATCGACGAGGAGTGGGAGGGGTTGAGCACCTTGTCCCTTTGATTTTTGTCCTCCCGAAGGTTGATAAATATTACATCCACCGCCATTGAATAATAGATTCCCCCGATTAATATGGAGTCGTAATGCACTCAAAGCGATGGGCTCTGCATCCACTGCGATGTCCAATAAGTGGAGGGGGACAAAGGATAAATAAGTCTGAGCGGTGTTTATTTACAACCGCACCACGAGTAAATCACCCTGGTTAATACCGCGAGTGTATTAACCACGCATAAACCACTCCGGTTAATACTGCGGTGTATTAACCACGAAGACACGGAGTCGTCCACTTCACAGCAGCCGTTAAAGATTCCTAAAGATCCCGTGAGGTTTTAAAAAACGACGAAGGAGACCACTACGTGCCGGTGCGGTGTCGCGGTCCCAAACGCGTGGCCTAATTTGAAAAATGGCCTTCATATTATTTACCTGGGACACACAGAGTGACATTATCGTCGTCCCCCCCCCCCCCCTCTCTACTGTGGAACTATCAGAGAGCCTCCACTCGTCTGTGACACACACACACAGCGGCTTTCTTCGCGCTGTAAGGCTCGCCGCGATTACCAAACGTACTTGCGGCACGGTCACAATAAAGCGAAATCGAAAGAGCAACGCGGCTTCCGTGAGCGGCGTCCGAGTTACGACGAGCGAGCGACTCGAGGTCGTGCGTACAAAGCACCGGCTGAACCCAGGGGGTCGGCAACCTTGCGGATTCCGGAGGCCCGCACGCGGTGGCTCTTGAAGGACCGCTTCGGGACGTTATTTATCAAGAGCCGTCGCTCCCGTATTCACCACGTGCATCGCGGCCCTTCAAACACCGAGGTCGAAAAAAATGGCTCTCCTTGTTGTTTTGGTTTGCCGACCCCCCGGGGCTAGACACACCACGGTCGCGGCGGTCTCGATTTTTTGCGCGGGCAGATGCGCTCGCTCGTGGCACTCCCGGCAGAGGGGCCTCCACTGGAGGGGAGCTGTAACGGGCGTGTTTCTTTGGCCTACTCCTCCACGCTTGTCAGCCGTCTTGGAAGAGGTGGGAATACCCCAGCGTTTGGCCCACCACACGCGACTTGCCGATGGACTGACCGTGGTTGAACCGTCTTAAAACTGCTCGGTAGGCATACATGGTCGATGGAAGGTGGGGGGAGAGGGTAGGCAGGAGAGGGGGGTGTAAGAAAATGTTACCATTGTTCTAAATGCCGGGCCAGGAGATGGAATCGAACTGGTACCCTCTGAATTTTTAAGTTCATTGAGCTCGCTATTAAATTAAACAGTTTATTTAAAACAATTTTACCAGGTAAGGCCCAACTGAGCTATGTAGGCTCTTTGTCAGAAGCGACCTGGCCACAAAATGAGAGTCTAATGGAGTGGCTTATCACGTGGAAATCCATGGCAGACAAATACTCTAAACACAGGCTTGTTTTTGTTCCATTACAGCACTGCGGCAGCATCCCTGGGCATAAGGTACAGACCACTATTATTACAGTCCTAGCGAGAACCGGCATACCGGGCCAGAGGTCACAGTTCACGTGGGGAGAGTTCCTTAGTAACATCGCCGTGTAACGATCCTCGGGTTTTCTGTGTCAAAGCTCGACACTGCGGAGTGGCGGAGGGTTTGGGGGGTGGGGGGGGAAGCGGCGGTGGTGGTGGTGGTGGTAGTGGCAGCCTCAGTACAAGCCGCGAAAATTAAACGCATCTGGACGGCCGCTTCCTGGATGTGCGGCGGGGAGGTCAGAAGCGCGGCAGCCAGAAGCAACGGGGAAGCACACGCGCACAGGAAGCAAGGCCGAACCCAGCCATTGTGTGTCCCTCGATGTGTGCAGCAGCGTAGAAGTCTTGCTGCGGACTGAGCGGACGAGATGTACATTCAAGTATCTTGTCTGGATGAGCATTGGGAGCCCGTGTCAGAGAAAATGTGATCCCCCCCGGAACTACGTGCACCAAGGAATAAATACTTGCTTCACCCCCAAGGAATCAATATTCTGGAATATCAGTACGTAGGCTTTTGCGGTTTGTATTGTTTTTGTCACTGCTATTCACCCACGGTGGCAAGATGTTAACTAGCTCGCCGAGTACACAGACAGTTGTGGGTTCGATCCCGAGCCTGACGCCCGTATGTCTGGAGTTTGCGTGTTCTCCCCGTGATCGTGGATTTTCTCTGGGTCCTCCGGTTTTTCCCTCCACATCTCGAAACATGCATTTACAGTAATTGGCTGCTATAAATTTCCACACGATAAGCCACTTCGTTGAGCTATCATTTGTGGCCAGGTTGCTTCTGAAAAAGAGCTACATAGCTCAGTGGGCCTTCCCTAAAAAAATAAAAAACAGTTTGTCTTTGTACCCAGGGAAAGCCTCGCCGAGTCTCATGACTCTTTTTCAGAAAAGTATTGCCAAGTTTTATGCAGTAGGGTGGGGGGATGGTGAGGAGAGATGCTTGCTACGTGTGATCCCGGCTGAGCAATTTACAGAGTCAAATTTATTTTTTGGCAAAGTTGGACCACGATGGCCTGACACCTACCGAATGACGCCACAGGGATCTTTTAACACCCACTGTGAAGCAGACGTCGCGCGCAGTACTTTGCTATTCATCTCCTAACACACCCGCGATGGTATAACCAGTGCGGCCTGGCGGATTCGAACCACTAACCTCTGCAAAATGCAAAGCGGTGAATGCTCCACCTCGGGGCAGCGCCACTGCCCCAAAGGACCAACATGCTTCGTATTTAAACGCATCATTTGGTGATGCTGCTGCTACTACTACCAAATAGTGCAGTTGGCTACGTATGGTGAGAAAAAAGTTCTACATACATCCATACAATGGTGCACAAGCACAATTAGCCAATAACACCGTGGCCTTAACAGGAAAAAATTAACCCGTAAAAACAAAGTTTTTCACTATAAATCCTTTATATGCGTGGCATCGGTTTTATTTTATTATTCATTTCTGTTTTTCTTGAGTAAGAGTTTCATTTTTATCACATTGGTATTTTAAATTAAATATGAAATTTTTTTTTTCCTAAAAAGTGGAAAATTTTTGAAAGATTTTTTCACGAAAATAAATTGTCACGCACAACGAGTCTGTGTGCAAAATGTCAGCTCGACTGGATCACGGGAAGTGGGTTAAAAAACGACCGAAATATTTGCACGGTCGTACGCGCGCAAGCAAGCAAGTGAACTTAATATAAAGGATTTAAAAACGACCGAAAGATTTGCACGGTCGTAAGCGCGCAAGCAAGTGCCGCAAGTGAACTTAATATAAAGGATTTAAAAAGAAAGTCCTACACCTTGTGCAAGGGGACAACACTATCCCCGTACAGGTGCAAACAGATGGGGATTAGTTCACTTTGCTGTACCGCCCTCTCCTAGCAGAGCCAGGAGTAAGACTCTTTTTCGATGCCCACGGGAGAAGAGTTTCACAGCCCATCTGTCCGATGATCTATCAACCCTCGCCGCTGCTGCTGCTGCTGCCTCCACTATGCTGGACTACAGGCAGCCAAGTGCAGTAGCTTAGCCGCCACCACCAGCACCAGCACCACCGCCTGGGCCGACGTTGATTTTGGTATCAACATCACACGGGGGTCGGCCTGCGATGCCCGGCACTGCCGATCGCACTAAGCAAAAGAGCTTGGCGGCTCATCGGATTCCTCCGGCCTTAATAAAGATCCCGACGCTTGACTCACGCGACAGGGATGGGTGACATTGCCCAGTCGCCACGACCTCCCCCGTCGGCGCTACGGGGCTGACCGCGGAACAGATTTCGTCAAATGTTCAATGAAGCGTCTGTCCTCCCTCCCCACTCAGTGGAGCAGGAAGACGGCAAAAGGGCGCCCCCCCCCCCCACCGCGGGCAGATGGGTTGGTGGGGGTAGATTGCCCTGAGGGCACTCGTGTTTATTTACAATACGCATACAAAGACAAAGACCGCCCGTATAGCCTTTAGCAGACTGTTTTAACGGGCAAGTGCTGTTAGCGAAGTAGCACCTTTAAAGGTCGGCACGGCACAACGCCCGGCCGCCTTTGTGGCGATGTTCGCACACCGCGCCAAGTACTCATTTGAGGCCGAGTCGACCTAGGGGAGACCCAGGACCGGTTCAGATACTCCTCGCCGATGTTCGCCGTGGTGAGCGAGGAATCGAACTCGGATCGCCGGGGCTCGGAGCGCAGGGCGCTAACCGCTGCACCACCGCTCCACACACACCCCCCCCGAAAAAGGTTAACAATCTCCTGTAGAGACTCGGATGCCACAGGCGCAAGTGCCGTTCGCGAGCACCTATTAAAAACACACTGACACATTTGTATAGCATCATAGGGGCCCTTTAGACATGTGCTCAACAACTGATTAAAAAAAATAAAGCCTACATAAACACACGCGCACAATGGAGCTCACTGTAGCATGCCAGACTGTTTGGACAACCGTTGTTAGCGAGCACCTATTAAGGCCCGGGATGATACTCAAGGTGGTGGTGTGCCCAAACCATTCCCGGCCACCTTTGTCTCCCCTTTGCTTGCTTGTTCATGTTTGCAAACTACAC